CCGCGCCCGGCTAATTTTTTGTATTTTTTTTTTTTTTTTTTTTTGAGACGGAGTCTCGCTCTGTCGCCCAGGCTGGAGTGCAGTGGCCGGATCTTAGCTCACTGCAAGCTCCGCCTCCCGGGTTTACGTCATTCTCCTGCCTCAGCCTCCCGAGTAGCTGGGACCACAGGCGCCCGCCACCTCGCCCGGCTAGTTTTTTTTTTTTTTTTGTAGTTTTTTTTTTTTTTTTTTTTTTTAGTAGAGACGGGGTTTCACTGTGTTCGCCAGGATGGTCTCGATCTCCTGACTTCGTGATCCACCCGTCTCGGCCTCCCAAAGTGCTGGGATTACAGGCGTGAGCCACCGCGCCTGGCCTATTTTTTTTTTTTTTTTTTTAAGTAGAGACGGGGTTTCACTGTGGTCTCGATTTCCTGACCTCGTGATCCGCCCGCCTCGGCCACCCAAAGTGCTGGGATTACAGGCGTGAGCCACTGCGCCCGGCCGACATGTACTGGTTTTGCGCCCGGCCGACATGTACTGGTTTTGCGAATGAAAATGCTGTGAGTCGTAGAACTTGCTAATGACTTCCACTTAGCAGTATTTTATGGTAAAAGAGGTAGTTTTTAGGATTTAGTAAAAGAATATACAGCCATTTGTGTGCTGTAGCTTGTCTTGAAGATAACTCTACATATTTTGCTCTAAATGGTTGCTGCAAATTCAGTCTATGCCTCATAAGCCAAATAGGAAGGCATATGATTAAAACTGGAATATGCAACTGATAATACAAGTGAAGCTCGGACTTCTTTTTTCTTTAATGAACTTTAAATTGTATTGGCAAGACAATGTCAGATATTACATGTACCTTGGATAAAATGTTAACTTGCTGGTTTGGTAAGAGATGGCCAGATCTAAGTAGCTTAAGACTAAGTAGACAAGTACTTTACTGATATGTAGAAGGCCTTTATCTACCTGGTATGAAAGCAACTCAGGTCACCCAAGTATCTAGATTGAGCTTAGCAATGTGGTGGTTGTAGAATATTGAATCCGAGGAAGTTTCTTGAGTTTATCAGCTTCAAGACTGTTTATATCCCTGGACTGAAATAAATTGAGCTTGAGGCTTGCCATTGCAGTTAGCTGTTTGCTACTTGTGCGGTTGAGATCTTGGCCAAGTTAAATTGGACCCTTTACTGCATAACATTGTTGATCACATGTTACCAGTATTAGAGCATTTGAGGGCACCAGTGTGGCTTAGATGACATAGTTGCATCATATTTGATGTAAAAAGCATGCAGTCAATAGCTTTAAAAATTCTTCAGCTCTTTAGCTGACAATATCAAGTGTTGGCAAGGATGTGGAACAGCTGGAGCTGTAATACTTTTATGGTAGGAATGCAAAATGACAAAATCACTCTGGAAAATGGTTTCGCGATTTTATTTTGTAAGAACAAAATAAACCGTTCATTTGCCATATGATTAGGCAGCCTATTCCCACTCCTAGGGATTTATCCAAGAGAAATGAAAACATGTCCGCCAAAGACTGGTACTTGAATATTCGTAATAGTTCTAAATTGGAAACAGTCTTAATGTCCATTAACAGGAGAAAGGATAGATATGTGTGTGTATGTATACATACATACAATGGAATTCTCACCAACGAAAAGGAATTTCTGATTCATGCAAAATATATGAATCTCAAAAGCATTGTGCTGAGTGAAAGTAGTTCAGACATAAAAGTCTGTACTCTTTATGATTCCATTTATGTGAAATTCTAGAGAAGGCAAAACTATATAGTAATAGCAGATGAGTGTTGGTGGACTGTACTGGGGAAGTGGTGATGGTGGTAGTGAATTAACTGCAGAGGAGCCCAAGAGAAGTTTTTGGAGTGATAAAAAGTTATTTATCATAGTTAATGTTAGTTCCAAAACTGTATGTTTGTACTTGTCAGAACTCAAATGAATTGTACATTTAAATTGGTTAATTTTGTCATTTGTAAATTACACCTTAAAATGTTAGTGATGTCTCTAAGTGTCTGATGGTATAGAGTTTTACAAAGATAAATTTTTAAAAGTTTTACTGTTTTTTAATTCTGGGTTAGCTTTCATTTGAGATTATCAAATGAACAAATTGAGGTGGTTGTTATACAAGCATTCTTTTGGTACATTTTAGTTGTGCTTTGGTTGACTTGTGAAGCAGAAGGAACACTAAATCTGAGAACAGCTATGTGGTGATGAAAGAACGTATGTAAGTCACACAAAAGATAAATATTAAGGTCAGGTTACTCCAAACTAGTACCTCCTAAAATCTCTGGTTATAAATAAATTTTATGATGTTTTGAATAGCACTTTTGATCAGGATAATGGTAGCTTTGGACAGAAAGTGATGAATGTGAGTGAAGCTTACTTTCTGTCAGAGAGCAAAATATAAATGCTGGGTGCAGTGGCTCACACCTATAATCCTAGCACTTTGGGAGACCGAGAAGGTTGGATCACCTGAGGTCAGGAGTTCGAGACAGGCCTGACCAATATGGTGAAACCCTGTCTCTACCAAAAATATAAAAATTAGCTGGGCGTGGTGGCTCACGCTTATAGTCCCAGCTACTCAGGAGGCTGATGCAGGCGAATTGCTTGAACCTGGGAGGCAGAGGTTGCAGTGAGCCGAGATCGCGCTACTGCACTCCAGCCTGGATGACTGAGCGAGACTCCGTCTCGAAAAGAAAAAAACGCTTTAGATTGCTGTTACTGAAAAGAGGTCTGTTATTTAAAAAATGAGGGTATTTGTGTTTGTCGTGGTTGAAACCAGATGTTACATTAGTTTTATTGGGTACCTCTGGTGAATATTAGGAAACCTATTTATATCAAGGTATGCTTACCATTCAGAAGACAACTCTTTCATGCCAACACTGATAATTTAATAATTTAACCACTGTCACTCAATTGGAATAACTTTGTTTTCAAATTACAAAGTAGTTCAAATAAATGGAAAAGGACTGAAAATGACCATAACTCGTATTAAACAAATGTTAACAAATGAAAAATGTTAAATACAGCTAAAGCACTCCAACATAACCATCCTGAAATTAATCATTATAGACCTGTTTAAGTACACGTGGATGTGTGATTTTGTACTTAAACCACACATTCATGTATATATAAACAGGTCTTTTTATACAACGAAATTTATGTAAATGGTATCTTTAACTGGATATGTCTTGCAACATTTTTTCAGTTTAAATAATGAAACAAGCAGTATTTAAAATGTTTAAGGGAACTTATTTGTCCTCCCAGAGTCTCTCAAAAATTCTAAAAGTTCTCCTAGGGAAATAAAGTGAGAAAAGAGGTAAGTGACAAGATTTTGTAGATATGGTGGTTATCTACGAAAACCACCAGTGTTACATTTTAAAAAGAATTATTGTATGTAAATCTTTAGCTTTCTTTTTTGTGTGTCATAGAGACAGGGTCCCTCTGTGTTGCCCAGGCTGGTCTTGACCTCCTGGCCTCTAGTGACCCTCCCACCTCGACCTCCCAAAGTGCCATGGTTACAGGTGTTAAGCCACCCCACTTCACCAATATCTAACAGTTCTTAAATTAATGCATCATTGTAAAATTGAATTTTAAGGCTACACTCCACTCCGTCAGTCTTTTTATTGCCAGTTAATTGCCACCTAAATATTTCATTTTTATTTAATCTTGCTTTGGATTTTGATTAGTAAACTTCTAGGGATGTAGTTTCACATTGATACCCTGTTAACTTGGGAGCTGAGGAGGTGTAGTGAGGAGGTGTATGGAGGTGTAGTGAGGAGGTGTAGTGAGGTGTAGTGAGGAGGTGTAGTGAGGTGTAGTATGGAGGTGTAGTGAGGAGGTGTAGTGAGGTGTAGTGAGGAGGTGTATGGAGGTGTAGTGAGGTGTAGTGAGGAGGTGTATGGAGGTGTAGTGAGGTGTAGTGAGGAGGTGTAGTGAGGTGTAGTGAGGTGTAGTGAGGAGGTGTAGTGAGGTGTAGTGAGGAGGTGTAGTGAGGTGTAGTGAGGAGGTGTAGTGAGCTGTAGTGAGGAGGTGTATGGAGGTGTAGTGAGGTGTAGTGAGGAGGTGTAGTGAGGTGTAGTGAGGAGGTGTATGGAGGTGTAGTGAGGAGGTGTATGGAGGTGTAGTGAGGTGTAGTGAGGAGGTGTAGTGAGGTGTAGTGAGGAGGTGTAGTGAGGAGTGGAAACCCCCAGGTAGGGATTTTCTGGAGGGGCCAGATGGTAATTATTTTGAGTTAGAAATCTTTCTGAAATGAATCATACTGGCCTAAAAGATATGCCAGATATAATTTTACTCATTCGTGTGATTGTGGTTCAAGATAATTGCACTGTGGTATGGTGGTTCTTATTTATTGAGGACCTGTCATGTACCAGTCACTTCACATGGTCTCTCCCTCACCCCACCCACCCTCCAGCCCCAAGATTCAGAATGCTATAGTATTCTTAGGTTTTATTGAGCTTAAAATAATTGGCCATGGCCATTTAATGTATGATGACTTTTTTAGTTCCCATCTGCTTTGTCATTTTGTTGACCTACTGTCACTTCAGACTGTTGTGTGCTTGAATATACATAATCCCCCACGCCCCTTCTTATTTATGGGCTTGGAAAAGGCATAAAGGCATTAAAGGCAGTTGGAAAAGCCTGTTAGTGTAATAGTTCTATGTGATGAATAAATGAGCTTTAAGTTTGGAACTCAAGAATCTGAGTAAAATAGGTGTTTGGGTTCACAGACTACTTGACCATTATTTTGATTGAAAAACTTTATTTTTGCTAGTCAGTGCTCAGCAAGAATATTGTTGAGCAGCTGAATTCCAGTTGGTGTGTATGTGCTAAGTGAATGTCCTCATTTATGCTGAAATGAGTTCCTACCAGAATGTCAGTTTTCTGGATATTATTTGAAAGGAATATTTTGGGTAGATTGGTCTACTAAATAATGTTGGAAAGCCAACCTCTTTTTTAATGTGAAAGTTTTTATCTTGCCAAATTTTAACTTTTTTTATTTTAGAACAAATTCTGTACAACATAAAACAAGAGTATAAACGAATGCAGAAGAGAAGACATTTAGAAACGAGTTTCCAACAGACAGATCCGTGTTGTACTTCTGATGCACAGCCACATGCATTTCTCCTCAGTGGACCAGCTTCACCAGGTAATAACATTTCTTTTCATTTATAAAGTTTATTATTTAGAGTGGGAAAAGTTTAATCCAAGTTGTCTTTAGTCATTTAAGCTACTATATCTCCTCTGAGTTTTAAAAAAACATTTATACAAGTAATGCATGACATCTTAAAAATATGGTACAAAATAAGGAATTATCACCTGGATTCCCACTAACCAGGGACAACCACCTGTATAATAATATCCCCAAAGTGGACATCCTGTAAGTACTATGATTTGTAGCCTTTATTAAAAAAATTAACAATAGGCCAGGCACGGTGGCTCATGCCTGTAATCCCAGCACTTGGGGAGGCCAAGCGAGGTAGACAGGTCACTGGAGGTCAGGAGTTGAGACCAGCCTGGCCAACATGGTGAAACCTTGTCTCTACTGGAAATAGAAAAATTAGCCAGGCATGGTGGCATGTGCCTGTAGTCCCAGCCCCTTGGGAGGCTGAGGCATGAGAATCACTTGAACCTGGGAGGCGGAGGTTGCAGTGAGCTGAGATCGTGCCACTGCACTCCAGCTTGGGCGACACAGTGAGACTTTGTCTCAAAAAAAAAAAAAAAAATTAACAGAATACTATATGCTCCTTTGTTAGGTATAGATGTACCTTGTCATGACCGAATGCTTATTGATAATTCAACTTAGATGTTTTGCTGGTATAGTATTTTAAGAAATATCCCTGTATACGTACCCTCCCTTACACACTTGTCTTATTGGGATAGATTTCTAAAGGTGGATTATTTTATTACTTTTTTTGATCCTGTATCTGTTTTTACCTACCTTTTGTTGGGGGGAGTGTTTGCAAATAACCTTCCTTTTTAAAAAAAAAAAAAAGGAATAAGGGCTACTTGAAGCAAAGAGAAAGTTGAAGGTTTTGCTGAAAGAGAGCCATCAATAGTGGCTCTTACCTTTAGTAAAGTTCTCAGCAAAATAGCTTTTCTTGTGACAACAGTTGCCTTTGTTCAATGCTTTCTCTCCTCCCTCTAGCAAGGGTGGGAAAACCTGGCAGAATAAAAAAATTTCGACCAGGCGCAGTGGCTCATGCCTGTAATCCCAGCACTTTGGGAGGCCGAGGCGGGCGGATCGTGAAGTCAGGAGATCGAGAACATCCTGGCTAACACAGTGAAACTCCATCACTCTAAAAAGACAAAAAATTAGCTGGGTGTGGTGGCAGGTGCCTGTAGTCCCGGCTACTGAGGTAGGAGAATGGCATGAACCTGGGAGGCAGAGCTTGCAGTGAGCAGGGATCACACCATTGCACTCCAGCCTGGGCGACAGAGCAAGACTCCGTCTCAAAAAAAAAAGAAAAAAAAAAAAATCAAAGACCATAATATAGTCAAATAAAATTAGATTAGGAAACATGAAATTGTTCAAAACTAAATACTGCCATGCCCATTGTGGGGGGCCAGTTATTAGTGGTTGAAACATAGTAAGAGGTGAGGGTTGGGTACTAGACTGTATTAGCAGGAAACCAAGATCATTATTTCCTTACTCACTTAGAAGATCAGTTAACTGGCTCTTAAGTAACAAAGCTGGGAATGTGAAAATAAATTAAGATAGCCTTGGGTAATTATGAATAAAGCTGGTGTGCTTTGTTATTGTGATATGCGCAGTTCTAATAAGCATAGTTAACTAGCTCCTGCCATGCCGGTTATAAGCAGCATTAAGTTAAGAGAGTAATATTGGTGGTACCAGGGCAAATTCACAGAGTGAGATGAAGAAACAATAGATAACAAATGAGTGGTGCACTTGAATGTGAATAAAATACTTTTAGCAGTATTACAATAGATGTTATTACTACAAAATATTTTCTCTTTTATAAAAAAATACTAATAGGTATAAAAATGCTGAAGGAATATTCTTGCCAATTTACTAATGATATTGACAGACACTGATGTTGCAGCTGCTTTGGGATTCTTAGTGTGATGACAGTGTAGTTCTATGATACTATAGAGTTTTGAGCATAGCATTATCAGCTCAGTACTTGAGCTTATTTTTCCATGCGAATTATTGTTAACTGAATGGTAGTAGTCAATGTGTTCAAACACCTTTAGAATCATTTATGCTTCTCCAGCAAAGTAGATTCCAGAATGTCTTTTTTATTTTGTTTCATTTTGTTTTTGAGACACGGTCTCACTCCGTTGCCCAGGCTGGAGTGCAGTGGTGAGATCTTGGCTCACTGCAGCCTCTACCTCAGCCTACCCTGTAGCTAGGAACAGGCACATGCCACCACTCCCAGCCAATCTTTGTATTTTTACTAGAGACATGGTTTGCCATGTTGTGCAGGCTGGCCTTGAGCTCAAGGGTTCCACCTGCTTCAACCTCCCAAAAAGTGCTGGGATTACAGGTATGAGCCACCATACCCAGCTAGATTCCAGAATGTTTTTTAATCTTTTTTAAAAAGGGTTCATGCTGTACCTTCTTTTTTTAAACAAAGGTTTTATTGTGCCAACATGAAATTTCTTTTTTTTTTTTGAGATGGAGTTTCTCTCTTGTTGCCTAGGCTGGAGTGCAGTGGCATGATCTTGGCTCACCGTAACCTCCGCCTCCTGGGTTCAAGTGATTCTCCTGCCTCAGCCTCCCGAGTAGCTGGGATTACAGGCATCCGCCACCATGCCCAGCTAATTTTGTATTTTTAGTAGAGACGAAGTTTCTACACGTTGGTCAGGCTGGTCTTGAACTTCTGACCTCAGGTGATCCGCCCGCCTCGGCCTCCCAAAGTGCTAGTATTACAGGCGTGAGCCACCATGCCCGGCCTATTTTCTTTTTTAATAAAGGAAAACCCCTTTCTAAAGGTGTGAAATGATGGTAGAATAATTTACCGGTTCATTGTGTGTGGGCTGTTAAGATATTAATGGTATGGCTTTGAAGATTGTGTCTTTTTACTGGCATAATGATTTGTTATTCTGGGACTAAATAAATTAAGTTTAGACCTGAGGTGTTCTTTATTCCTGGTGTAGGAAAGTTTAGGCACTAAAATACTTCATGGTATGGTATTTTCCAGAAAGGAGATGAGAGGTTTTGTAATGGGACCCATCATTGTAATGTTTGTTTTTTGTCTTTTTTAAATTTAATTTTTAATTTTTTGTTTTTGTTTTTTTGAGATAGAGTTTTGCTCTTTTTGCCCAGGCTGGAGTGCAGTGGCACGATCTCGGCTCACTGCAACGTCTGCCTCCTGGGTTCAAGCAATTCTCCTGCCTCAGCCTCCCGAGTAGCTGGGATTACAGGTGCCTGCCATCATGCCTGGCTAATTTTTTTTGTATTTGTAGTAGAGACAGGGTTTCACCATGTTGGCCAGGCTGGTTTCAAACTCCTGACCTCAGGTGATCTGCCTGCCTCGGCCTCCCAAAGTGTTGGGATTACAGGCATGAGCACCACGCCCAGCCTTTCTTATGTCTTAAAGTTTTTTCTACTCATCTTTAGACTTTTTTTTTATCTTGATTACATCTTGCCACGTTTTTCCAGCGTCACCAGCTGATGGAATTATTATTTTGGTTGTTTTAAGACTTGTGAAATGCTGTGCTTAAAATCTGATTTTAAAATGCTTTTATATCAAGATTGAAGAGATCCAAATGAAACCTCTTCATTTAGAAATTGCTTTCTATCATGGCTCTAAACCAGGTACTATTTTTTGTCCTCATTGTACATAGGGACTTCATCTGCAGCATCCTCACCATTAAAAAAAGAACAGCCCTTATTTACTCTACGGCAGGTTGGGATGATCTGTGAACGTTTGTTGAAAGAACGTGAAGAGAAAGTTCGAGAAGAATATGAAGAAATATTGAACACAAAACTTGCAGGTATGAGGTGTGTTTATTAGAGTTTCTGAGGAACTCAGTTGTACAAAATGCATTATTTTCCATGTGTGCTTTAATTTCACTTTCTATACACTACTGCAGTATATTCTCTGAGAACGAGAAAATTTCCGTTCAGGAAGGGAAATTAACCTTATGGCTCATGGCCCGCCTTGGTAACCTCAGGAAAAGAGTATTGGCTAGCCGTGTAGATAAGCAGTAGTATTGGTATGTACCCTGTACTAAAAAAGGATGTTAGTTGTTTAACTCAATTTGGTTGTGGATTTTTTGACTTTATATTTTTCATAACTTTGCCATCAATCTAGACATTTAAAATATCTAATTGGCTGTCACTGTGTAAGTCATTTGAGTGTCAAACTGCAGTCCTGTTTCAATTATCAGAAGAAATCAGTAAAATTTGATAATTTAAGTACAGTAAATAAAATTTATTATGTACGATAACATAAATAGAATGTTTAGCCACAGATTTACTGTTTATATAGATAGGTAAGCTTTTTGATTCTTAAAGAATTAATGTAGAGGTGTTAATGTAGAGAAGAGAAATTGCTTAGATATATAACAACTTTTTCTGTGATAACTTGATCAGGTTTTAGGTAGTTTTTTGTTGTTAGCTTTTGTTATCCTATTCTCATTGCAGTCAGTTGCCATTCATAGCCCACATACAATAACTTTCCGAGTAGAAGGGTAAAAAGCTATTGAAAGCCCTTTGTGTTTTTTTTTTTTTTTTTTTTTTTTGAGACATAGTCTCACTCTCACCCAGGCTGGAGTGCAGTGGCAGTGTAGGCTCCGCCTTCCAGGTTCACACCATTCTCCTGCCTCAGCCTCTCGTGTAGCTGGGACTACAGGCACCTGCCACCACACCTGGCAAATTTTTTTGTATTTTTAATAGAGATAGGGTTTCACCGTGTTAGCCAGGATGGTCTCGATCTCCTGACCTCATGATCTGCCCGCCTCGGCCTCCCAAAGTGCTGGGATTACAGGCATGAGCCACCGCGCCTGGCCAATTTTTTTTTTTTTTTAAAAGATGGAGTCTCGCTCTGTCACCCAGGCTGGAGTGCAATGGCACGATCTCGGCTCATTGCAACCTCTGCCTCCCAGGCTCAAGCGATTCTCCTGCCTTAGCCTCCCGAGTAGCTGGGACTACAGGTGTGTGCCGCCATGCCCAGCTAATTTTTTTTTTTTTTGTATTAGTAGAGACGGGGTTTCACTATGTTAGCCAGGATGGTCTCAATCTCTTGACCTTATGATCCGCCCGCCTCGGCCTCCCAAAGTGCTGGGATTACAGGCGTGAGCCACTGCACCCGGCCTTGTTTTTAATTGTTATGAAATAATAAATCTCACCTAGTCTTTATGTCAGGTCATGTGATTGGACTAAAACCTAGGTTTCTTGACTGATAAGCTCCATGCTGTTTTTATTTGATACAGTATTAGTACTACCGAGGTTATGTAAGTGATTGTCAACTTAGAATTGTTTTACTATACATTTTTTATTTTCAGTTTATCTGGCTGTTAATATTAAGGCATTTTACAAATCATGTAATTGACATGTACCTTGATTTATAGAACAATATGATGCGTTTGTGAAGTTTACGCATGATCAAATAATGCGACGATATGGAGAACAGCCTGCTAGTTGTAAGTATTTCACCTTTGAAGTTATAAACTCAAGCCTATCTTTTAAGGAGAAGACATTGTAATTATTTTCATACTCAAAAAGAGAATTTAACAAAATTACTGAGACTGTATGGAGGAAATAGGCAGTATAACTTTGCAAGACTTTTGGTTAAATACCTAGGGGCAATACTGGGAATCAAGGTCTAGTATTTGTTTGGATTTTGACCCGTATTTTGCACTAATTTTCCTTTTCTCACCCTTTAGATGTTTCATGAATCACGTATCCTGCATTTGTGGGCTGCCTTGTTCCTTGTTGAGTTGTTGCAAGAGGTCCCAATTATGACATGCAGCAATGCCAATACCCCTTCTGTGAATACAGGTTATTTCAAGCTTTCGTCAGTGGCAACCACTCTTAGGCAGCAGCAACTGGTTTTGGAAATTTCCCTGATGTCAGTACCACCTGGATGTGGACCTTTGCTACCTGTATTAATACCAGTGGCCTCATTTTGCTGTATCATTACAATTTGGCTTCTTATATTAATGTTTGAAAAGGATTAAAGCTGGTATTCTAGAACATGCCCTTCACTGGTTGTGTAAATAAATCTGTAGAATGACACTTCAGATGAAGTTAGTGTGATTTTAATTGTGCACTACAACCAAGCTGTAACCAGTTACTAATTTTAGAATGTAATCCCAGGACAATATTAAGCAAATAGCCTGCACTGCTTCCTGTGAAATAGTGAAGGAGGAGGGCATTTCTGTATTCCAGGACTTCTTGGGGTTTCAGAATGGGTTTATATGATTTTTTTTTTTTTTTGGTAGTTTTATTTATTCTATCAGTCTTTTTAACAAATGTTTATTGCTGCATTTTTTTTTCCAGTGTATCATTGTTTTATTGCCCTTGTAGTACTGGAATTTAGTTGGAAGAATAAAACATTTACTTCTATTCTGCTTGTTTCTTAATGTACAGATGGGGGTAGTATTTGAATAAAGGCGGTGTTTTAAAACGTAAGCATTTTCCAGGAATCAATGAAGTTAATTTTCTAAGATTTTAGTGCTATTTCAAAAAACTGAGTTCTGATTCTAAATTCCTTCTGTAACTTACTGCCTGATAGAATGTTACAGGTATCTTAACTGCTATAGAATTACCTCAGATATCAGTAGAATCCAGTTTTTCCTTTAAGGACTTGATACGCAAAAGCATGATTTCAGCAAAAACCTTTCCATACATGGTTTCCAGACATAGCTTTCTTACAATGAAGTGAGCAAAAAAATGCTTCAGTGAATTCTTTTGTTGAATTCTAATAGCATATTTCCAAAATTTAAGACAATCTTAAATATACATTTATTATTGATCAAGTTAGTAGAAGAAAAAGGATTTTTTTTTTTTTTTTTTTTTGATACGGAGTTTTGCTCTCATCACCCAGACTGGAGTGCAATGGCACAATCTCAGCTCACTGCAACCTCCGCCTCCAAAGTTCAAGCGATTCTCCTGCCTCAGCCTCCTGAGTTGCTGGGACTACAGGAATGCGCCATCACGCCCAGCTAATTTTTTGTATTTTTAGTAGAGATGGGGTTTCACCATTTTGGCGGGGCTGGTCTTGAACTCCTGACCTCAGGTGATCTGCCCATCTTGGCCTCCCAAAGTGCTGAGATTACAGGCGTGAAACACTGTGCCCGGCCGGATCTTTTTATTTTTAGCTTTGGTAATTACATTTCACCAATTCTGTGGTTTCACAAGGTGCCCAGGCAATTTATATGCCAATTAGTGATTGAGAAACATTGGTATAGCACAGGGTGGCAATAAGGTACGTAATTCTATGCCCCCCACCCTTTTTTTTGAGACACAGTCTTGCTCTGTCACCAGGCTGGAGTGCAGTGCTGCCATCTTGCTCACTGCAACCTCCACCTCTTGGGTTCAAGTGATTCTCCTGCCTCAGCCTCCTGAGTAGCTGGGACTACAGGTGTGCACCACCACGCCCTGCTAATTTTTGTATTTTTAGTAGAGACGGGGTTTCACCATGTTGGCCAGGATGGTCTTGATCTCTTGACCTCGTGATCCGCCCGCCTTGGCCTCCCAAAGTGCTGGGATTACAGGCATGAGCCACTGCACCCGGCCAATTCTACCCCCTTTTAATGGTCTAGAACAGAGATTCTCAACCTCAGTACTTAATGGCAGTTTGGGCCAGATCATTCTTTGCTGTGGTGACTGTTCCTGTGTATTATTATATTTAGCCACATCTCTGGCCTCTACCACAACTGTGATAACCAAAGTGTCTGTAGACATTGCCAAATGTCCCTGAGGGACAAAACAGTTCCCAGCTAAGAACCTCTGGTTAGCAGGACAGCCTGTTGTAGTCCCAGCTACTTGGGAGGCTGAGGCACAAGAATCGCTTGAACCCAGGAGGTAGAGGTTGCAGTGACCTGAGATCATGCCACTGCACTCCAGTCCAGGTGACAAAGTGAGACTTCATCTAAGGAAAAAAAAAAAAAATTTTTTTTTCTTCCACAGCCAAATGTCTGCATTATCACTTACCCAAAAGTCCTAGCTTATGGGCTACTCTGACTTCAGATGGGTCCAGTAGTTGATTAGTCCAAATACCAACCATACATGATTTCAATATTAAGATTATTTTAGCTACCTAGGGATTCCGAATTCCCCAAATCTCTGAAATTGCTTGTAATAAGTATCTACAGAATTGTGTTAATAGTCATCTTAGTAAAAGGCAGTACTGATACAGTACTGTAGTATATGTTTAGTAAATCTTTGATTAACAAGTGCACATAGGTATAATTCTTTGTATTTTTGGAAAAATAGGCAATCTGAGAAAAATAAATATTGGAGGTTTAAACTAGTAAAGCTGTCTTTGGCCTGTGGCAAGAAGTAGAGACGACCCTAAAGAAAATGGTGGAAGATTCTCAGGCTCTACCTGTCCCCAGAGACTGCTTTAGACAATTGGTGGCGGGGGAGAACTTTTGGAATCTGTTTAATATGCTGCCTAGGTGATTCAAGCAGCTAGGGTTGGAAATGACTTGTTTTTGCCCTGTTTGGGTTCTCTTTACTCCCTTCAAACTCTTATAGTAATTGGTATTAAATGAATATTCTACAAAAGCACCCTAATAGTCTGACTCTGTCTACTCAAGGATATATGGCTCCCACAATTCTCTGCTCCTGCATTTGCCCTGGGTAAGGAGCACTAGATGCAAACCCATGTCTCAGGCAAAGATACAGCTCCAGCAGTCCTCTCCTCTCTCTATTGCATCTATTTTCTTTCTCTACTAAATCATTTCCAAAAGCATAATAAGCATGTTATTAAAAAATCTTTTGATCCTATATCGCTTGCTAGTGATTATTTTACTGCTCCACTTTATAAAAGCAAAACTCAAGAATTTTCTAAACTTCCCCCAGTTTATTACCCCCTCCTTTTTTTCACCAACTTGTTTTATTAGGAAAAAATTCAAACAGAAAAGTTGAAAGACTTTCCCACAAAAAATACTTCCCTAATTTAACATCAAGTCCTTATTTCACATTTTTCCATGTGTCTCTTTTTTAAATAGCTACCCTCATCCCCCAAATAGGATTCAATTAAGATTCTTACTTTCTGGAAATACTAGGCCTGTTGTCTTCTTGAGTTTTTCTTTGTAGTGTCATTAATTTTAACTTCTAATATCCCTTTGAACTTCCTGTAAACTGAAAGGTCTAAAGTTTTTGTAAGTTTCAGGTTAAACTTGTGCAGGAGTGCAAGGTGATGCTACGGTCTCCATATTGCATCACACAGTTACGGCTTTTCCAGGCTAAGTTTGGACACTTGGTTAGGTCATCTGATAGGTGATTAGACTTTGTCTCCACTCCGTTACTCTTAGTAAAATGCAGCAAAGATTTCCACTTTGTTTAATCAGCAGCCAGCATTTGACCTTGAAGCACTCTTCAGTTGGCTTGCAAAATACTACACTTGCTTGATGTTTCTCCTTTACTGGCTGCTCCTTCTCAGTCTGTCGTTTGCTGCTGGCCCAATCCTGATTTCCCTGAATTTTGCTAAAACATAAGTGTGCCCCCGAGCTCGACCTTGGGCTGCGTGCCTCCTCTCGTAGTACTCATCTTGGTGATCTCATCACATAAGGACATCAGATTATATTAACCTCTCCATGTGACATCTTCAGTTAGGTATCTAGTAGACACCTCGAAATTTATGTCTAAAACTTATTTTTGCCTCTGAAATTTTTCCTCTCAGTCATCCTCAATCACTTAATGGCCACTCCATTCTTTGTTTCAAGGCAGAAACGGTCTTGGACTCCTCACATCCTTCATCTAATCTTAGTTCCACCTAAAATGTTAACATCTCTACTGCCATTACCCTAATCCAAGACACTATCATAGTTTGATTATTTCCGTGGTTTCTTAACCGGTCTTTGTTTTGCCTCATTTTGTCTCCTCTTACCCATCCTATTCTCTCATAGCAACCAGACTGATCCTTTAAAACTCTTAAGTCTTGTTTAGATGGCTTCCTACCTAAGTAAAAGAAACTTCACAAAGGTCTGTGGAGCCCTAAATTACCTGCACTCAACCCCACCTCATTCAATTCCTATTGAATTCCTCCTGCTCACTCTACCTTGTCCACATTGGCCACCTTTGCTCTTCTTCCAGCGTAGCTAGCCGTAGGATTTTTGTTAGTGCTAGTGTCTGCCTAGCATGCTCTTCTCCCACAAAACTTCATGGAAAATTTTTTCCTCACTCGACATTTTGCACAAATGTCATCTCAATGAGGCCCGCTCTGACCACTCTGTTTAAAATTGCAGCCTGAACATCCTGGTGCTCTGCCCTGCATTTGTTTGTTTTACTCCCTCTGCTAAATGCAATGAAGGCAGGATCTTTGCTCACTGGCATACAGTGCCTGGCACATGGCACATGCTTGGTATTTTTTGAATGAATTTCACCCTACTTCAATTCAGGGTTTTCAGATCAGTATTTCTTAAATGAAAGATTTAGTAAAGCAGAATACTTCCTTTGTAAGATATTTTGGTAGAGGTTTCCTGAATTACAGAATGGACACAGAATTGAACTGACATTTCATAGGCTGTCTTGAGGGTTTTGTGCTCCATTAATGATTACCACAAAGGAGCTTCATGTTTTAATTTACTCTTTTGTGTATTCATTGTGAAAATGGGGCAGTTTTCGACTGGGCATGGTGGCTCATGCCTGTAATCCCAGCACTTTGGGAGGCCTAGGTGGGTGGATCGCTCGAGCCCAGGAGTTCAAGACCAGCCTGGCCAACATGGCAAAACCCCATCTCTACTAAAAATACAAAAATTAGCCGGGCGTGGTGGCGCACGCCTGTGGTCCCAGCTACTTGGGAGGCTGAGGCAGGAGAATGGCTTGAACCCAGGAGGTGGAGGTTGCAGTGAGCCCAGATCGTGTCACTGCACTCTAGCTGGGGCGACAGAAAAAGACTCTGTCTCAAAAAAGAAAAAGAAAATAGGGCAGCTGCCATGCTGTTACTTTCTTACATAATCTTTAGTGAGGAAAGTCAAAGTGGTTCAGTGCATGACATGCGTTTAGGTTGGATAAATTCAACTTAGTACCCAGCAAAAGAAAAGTAAGGCACGGCTACTTACTTTACTCAGTGAATCTGTGCCTTAGATATGAATCTGCTGGTCTGTGTGAGGCCAGTTCCTCTGTACCTTATAGTGTAAAAAGCATCTTGCCGTATGAGTGTTGTTCAAAGTAATGGTTTCTAAACACTGACAATTTTATCTGGTGCTCATGTGCAGCATTTGAAACCACACTGTACATAGTGATGGTGTCCTTGTATTGGAAGACCTTCCCTGTTGCCAACTTCCTTACCTTAAATAGATGGAAAATCATTAAAATCACCTATTCTTTCCCTAGATTTGTACTAACTATTGTTTAAAAATGAAACACATGGTTGGAGGCAAGACTAGAAGAAGAATGACTAGAATATTGAGAAAAAATATTGAGCTAATTGCTATGAAGGTAAATCATGGAAATCTCAT